GGGTCTTATTCTCTCCATTACTGATTAGGGGGTACACAGATGTTTTAATTTTTACAGGTTGTATGTTTCATCTTGCATCTTTTGAATAGTTCCCACTATTGAGTGGTTCCCATTTTCTCAGCATTTTCATTGAATTATCTGTGCATTTTTGTCATAGTGGCACATTTCTTCTAAGATAATGATCCTAAAACAGCTTCACAAACAAGTCTCATGAGACAGAAAACGCAATGGGTAAGATGTGTGGCTTATTAATACCAACTTCTGGTGCACAATTGACTCACTATCTCCCTGGAATATTTTTATTTAAGATTTAGTAGAAAGAGTTTTTGTGGTGGTAGTTTGGGGCCAGCCCTCACTCTCTTCATTTTTTATCTCCTTGTCCCATGGGACAGAGTGCGGTGTAAGGACAGTAGGAACAGGCTAGGACTCAAGATCCTCACTCTAAACTATGTGAACCGTTCATCCTATGACTGGCTGCTTTTATATATTAGAAGGTTCTCGAGGTTCATCCATTTTGCAGCATATATTACTATTTCCTCTTTATTATCAATTAATATTCAATTACTTGACCTATTTTATTTGTTCATTCATCAGTTGATGGAAATTGGATGATTTCTATGTTTTGGCTATTGTGAAAAATGCTGTTAAGAACATTGTGTATAAGTTTTCCTCTGTGGATGTATTTATTTCTTTTAGGTATTCATCTAGAGTGGAGTTGTTAGGTTGAATGGTAGCCATGCAATCAACTTATAATTAAGCATTAACTTCAAAACATTTATTTCTGTAATCTCTATTTCTCCATAGTTGTGTGTTTAAGAGTAAAGAATTCAGTATTACTGAATGTCAGAAATCTTTTATATGTAAATAGTGATAGATTTTTGCAATTTTTCATTTTCAAGGCAGAGAAGCATTGCTTTAGATGTTTTATCTGGTAATTCTGAACAGTTTTTGAAATTAAAAAGTTATAGCTGGGCCCTCCCTGGTGGCGCAGCGGGTTAAAGCACAGCACTGAGAATCTAAAGCCGCTTCTGCATGAGTTCGATTCCCGCCTGCCCCGGAGGTGACCTCATGGCGTGGCAGACCTCTCCTGACCCGCCCGCTGCTCCCCTCAGCAGTGTACTTCATCGATCTGCCTGTTCTGCTCCCCACTCTGTCTCTGGTGAAGCCTCTTGCCGCCCCTGAGCCTCTGGTCTGTACCCCAGTTCTGTATGCACAAATAAATAAATCTTAAAAAAAAAAAGAAAAAAAAGTTATAGCTGTAAAACTTACTCAGGTTATTAAGTTATTGGTGCAAAATATGATTTCAAAAATTTTTAAAGTTGCTTCTTAATCTCTGAGATATATTCAAACACCTAAGATTTTTCTTTTCTGTCCTAATATTTCATAATTAGGTTTTGAGATTTTTTTAAATGGTACTTGAGATATTTTCCAAAGCTGCTAAAACTATTCCTCTGGCAAATTCTCTCACCCCAATTTAAGTGTCATCTCTCCGGGAAGCCTTCCTTACTTATCTTTCACCTCTAGCAATCCTTACATACTTTTCTTGTGCCATTTCACCCCCTACATTGTGCTTCTGTGTCCACGTGTCTGCTGGCTTCCAATGCTGTTGTCCTGTCACGTTGCTCCACAGACTGACCTTTTCCTTGACTCCTTCAAGGAAGCTGGTTGTTTGTGTCTGTCACGCTTGCAGGAGCCTAGGAGAAGTTGGAATCGTCTTATAGCCAGCTGGCGAGACCGGTTTTAGGTTGCCTCTGCTGGTAGCAGGTCACACCTTGTACAAAGGCCTTTCATTCCAGGAGCTGCTCAAACTTGCAGCTTCCCTGGGGGTGGGGCAGCACTCAGCTGCTGCATTTCCAGGAGCTGGGTGAAGTGTGTCTCCAGTCTCTGTGTGGGGGTGGAAATGGGGAGCCCGTGCTGAGCTGCCATCCCTTGTCTCCATCAGAATTGTCTAGAATGGGCGTTGGAGGACAGAAAAATGTCCCGACTAATGTGTGCTTAAGAGACAAACCCCACCTATAATTATGTTATGTACGGCACTCATTCCCAGTTCCATCAGAATGTAGCTCCATGAAGGCAAGAACTCTTCTGGTGACACTTTCTGTTTGGAGCACTTTGAACAACACCAGCTACCTAGCAGCCGCTTGATAAATACTTGTTAAAGCATGAGGACATCTCAACACACCTGGTAACCACAATAACAAAAAGTTAGGTCAATAGAAAAAAATTTTATTGCATGATTTTCTAGGAAGGACTTTTTCAAGGCACTACATTTTCAAAGATAATAG